ACTATCACTGTCGAAACTCTATTAGATATATCGTCCGGCCAACGAAAATATAAAACAAGTTCACAAAACTTTGGCATGCATACCGGCAAAAAATCACAAGTTCTAGAAAATAGATAGAAAGATAAATTTTCATTCTTTGCAATCAAAGAAATTTTTTGAAGAAAAAAATCAAGCAAGATCTGCAAGAAAAAATACAAAAACACACACATTGTCCCGTAAGTTACTCAGGAGTAACTTACGAAAATTTTGTCTGATGCTCCTCTTTTGCACTCTATCTTCCTCGGTTCACCCTAGAACCTGCCCTCGACTAAGTGGCATACTGTTGAACTGACAGTGGCACCTAGCCGGGCTCTCTTTACTGTTCACTTGACTATGCTAAAGCACTTGATGGGCGCTCTTAGGTTCGATTTAGGGATTTCTTCTGAATGGCTAATCTCAGTTCATTGAGATGAATGGGGCTCACCACGAGCGGTATTTGAATTTGACAGAACAATCAGCAGTACAAAGTGGCTTTCACTTGATAAGTTCAATCCACTTATAGTATGAAGTAAAAGCGCAATTCTTTGGTAGCCCGAAATTGAATCTCGCTAAGAGAGTCCTAAGAATCCCTAACTTGTTAGTGCACATGTTCTTCAATTAAACACGCATGTGTTCGCTTTTCAATAACTAAAAATCTGAAAAGGCTTAAATAAAGTCAGAAAATGTCGTGTTTTCTGTTTTCTTTCATTGGATATGCCGTGATTGAAACTAATTTAAGGCTGGAAATCAGTCATACTTCCAAAAGTTTGTAACCTAGTTTTACGCGTATAAGGCGCGGGAGATTTTTTTCCAAAATCGACCAGCCCAGACAAGCCAAAGGACTTTACAACCAAAGGACCCTATAACGTGCTGTATATTGCTTGAGAGAATCGTGATGTAAGGATTTCTTTCCGGAACACAGTGAAGCGGCTGAGCGGCTCGCTTGAAAATTTGAAAAAATGCGCCTTATACGCGTGAAATTAGGGTAGTAAAGAATTATCTACGGAAACAGCCCAGTATTTCCATTCCAAAAAACTCAGTTTTCGTTCTTTATTTTCCTAGCCCAAAAATATAGTAATTTATGACCTGCTGTGGAGAGTACATGCTTAACGAATTGGAAATACACAGAATCTTTTGGACTAAGATATAATTCTTCTTTCGTTCAAAACTTGTCTATTTTCACATAAACTTTATGCGGATCAAGCTTGTGCAAGTGTCAGCCATCTTGTCAAGCTTGGTTTGTAATGATTAATATCCTAAATCCTAGAAGATAAAAGACATATTCTGAATATATATACCATCCTAACAAACCTGTACGGCTTAACAAGATTGAAACGTATAGACGACTTGGTTTATTTGAAAATTCAAATCTGGGTAAACTTGCGGGAAAACCTAATACCCTGAAGATGAGATACAAAAACCGGTGATACTTTTAAAGCAACCCAATAATTACCAACTTCAAGAAACTGAAAATTCAAAAGTTAACAATAGTATCTTACACATTAGCAGTTAGGCTTATGCTAGTATAAAATTTTCTGAAATTGTTTAGCATTTGTATAAGTGTGAGAACCTTGGCAGTTGCAAAAACTGCGTGATCATAAAGATGCAGCTCTTGAAAAGAAAAGAACTGTATCGAATGCACTTAAACCGTCCAGTTATGTTATGTTTATGAGTTTCGATACGATCAGAATACGCACACACTCATATCAAATAATCCAACATATACGTTTGTGAACGCGGAACTCGATATGGCAAAAGGCTGGGCGAATATTTCTGTTTGACTGCATTTTAGAAAACGATGATTCTGCAGGTCTCTTAAATGGTCAGTTTTAACAAAACAAACCAACACGCTTGTTTTCTAGTAATCTGAAAAAAGCACCTGTGGCTAAAGTGCTACGATGAACATGCAAAAAGCGTAACTTTTATGCATAAAGTCTTAGAAATATAAATCAAAAGTTGTTGCTACTGTCTCAAGAATCATGCTATAACAGAAAAATCTCCTTTAGTGAGCCCAATGTAAAGCACAGGAATCCCATATTTAAAAAACTTGATCAATGGATTCTGCTTTTTTGCATCCGAAATGATTCAATGATACTTTCTAGATGATAACTAGATGTAAGTGACTGCGGATGCATTTCCCACTAAAGAACATTTCGTTCTGCAAATAAAGAGACTAGCTGTTGAAAGTCAATACTGCACATAGTCAAAGTCATTCCATCATGCTTTGTGGCACTCAATCAAATTCAAATAAATTCGATTATCATTTCAATGTTCCTCCAATAAAGCATGACATATCACTCATCAATCATTTCAATGTTTCTCTAGTGAAGTATGACATATCACTTTTTTCACGCAAGGTTAGGATCAAGGACGAACTGGATGATTAAGGATGCGTAAATCTTTGGTTATTCCGCTAAGCAGGAGGGTACTAGAAGGAACCATTTTGCGTCTTGCGCCAATAATTTTAGTTTTTGCTAACTTATTCAGGGCTTACAAATGTCGGGATTGATAAAGTCAAGTTCCGCGCAAGCGAAATTACATTTTATTGTGGATTCGAAATTCAGCACGTATAACTCATTAGTAATGAACGAAAATCCAAACGAAATACACAAAAAACAAACTGGAAAATGTTTACGCTGCATTAACATAACTGCGGCGAATCGGTCCCCTTTGTGAAAGGCAGCGGGCAAACTTCGCTGCGGCTTTTTCATCATTGTTCTCCCAGGCCCCATTACCGCGGGGATGTTAACACGTATGAACTACACTCCAAAAAGCTTCCTTGCTGCACAATTGTCCATTTATATTTTCCGTTTCGTAATACATTATGGAAATGAATGTGTTACTTCGGATGATCAAACACAATCGATAAAAAAATTGACGGTAATCAAACAATTCTGCGCAAATGCAGAACATTGGATCAAGAGTTGAAAAATCGCGACAGTTCAAAATTTTTAGAAGTGCTTCCGCGATGCAAAACTGCGGTGACGTTGTAAAATTCCTCGGCTAATTCGAATTCGTACATCGTTGTAGCATGCTTGAGCATGCTCATGCGCTTTGTGTAGTTCCTGGACATACGTCTGGTATTCAGTCGCCACGCGATTTGGCTTTTTGCCAAATCTTTTTAAACCTAATTACAGACCACAGATACTTGGTGTATTAAAATTTTGTAAGGAAATAAATGTGCTATTTTCCGCATGCTCGAATTGAGTTAGCGACGAGTTATAAGCAACAGAATCATTGCCAAGTGCCTCGCAACAAAATCGCGTGAGGTATGTCGGTGCCTAAGGCGTGGAATAATCAATAATGAATTAAGGTAACGTGGTGAATCCACATCTGGCTTTTTGCTTCCAAGTTTATATAATAACCACTTAAATACAACCAAACTATTAAGAGATCGGTGCATTGTTACCTCTTTGAGAGACCAGAGGGAAGGAGTGTATATACTATCGATCTTTCGTTTGGGTAGGGGTTCCGTTCTTAGCTGCAAGACATTACTTCAAAGTGAGTTATGCCTTCTAGGCCCTCATTCCTGACGAGCAGCAGAGCCCGAATTAGATGGGGCTGACTTTTTTGCAAATTTTGAGATTAAATCAAGTCAAATCCCAGATCACAAATATCTCTTGTAATAAAACAATTATTAAGCTTTGCTCTTTGGTTAGCGAAAGGTTTTCGGACTGCCAAAATTTGCGGGCACCTAAGTAAAACCTATATTATTTATTTCACACAATTTGATAATTAAGAGCGTCCACGTTCGAGCACCACGGGAGTAGGTTGCGGTGCTCGAACCCGAGTCTGATCAAACTTACGGCCAAACGGAAACGCCTACCCAAACGGGAAATTGACACATACCACCCCAGATGTCGTTGTTTCATTGAAAACGCGTACTGTTCTACGACTATGGACTGGATATGCTGTATTATGTTGTTACATAAGTCTTGTTAGACTTTAACTTCTTACGGCGATAAGTCATGCCCCTCATAGTCTTTACAGGGCCCCGGGGTACCATTCGATAGAGCAAACAAGCTCTACAAAATAGTGCGCAAAAGTTCGCACCAGCTTCGACCTAAGGTAAATTTGCATCCAAAAATTGAGTCTACTGCAGGCTCAACAAATCGCAAAAAATTCATATCTTTGTTCAAAAAATCCTCCGCATTCCAACTTGTTCACGCAGATTGCACACCACATTAGACACTCTTATGTATCGTTGCTGTTATTTTCCTCGCCTAGAAATCGAAAAAACGAAAATTTTCTTGTTTTTACTAAAACGAAGCTATGCGTCTCCATTTATGTAGCTGTATACTAAAAGCCCTAGGAAGTATAATCGTAAATGTTCAGCTTTCCAGAAGCCCTAGTTTTCGAGAATTACCTAATTTAGCATTGAACACCGAAGTGATAAAAGCTAAATTCGGTATTTTTTGAAAACTACGGCTTCTGGAAAGCTGAAAAATCACAGTTATACTTCTAAGGGCTTGAAGTATATAGCTACATGAATGGAAACAGCATAGCTTCGTTTTAAAACAAGAAAATTTTCGTTGTCTCAATTTCTAGATGGGAACAAAATACAGCAACGGTACCTAAGAGTGTCGAATGTGGTGTGCAATTTGCATGAACAAGTTAGAGATGTGAAGGATTTTTTAAACGAAATTATGAATTTTTCCTAATTTTTTGAGCTTCAGTGCGACTCACATTCCGGATGCAAACTTACGGTGGGTCAGAGCTGGTGCGAACTTTTACGCACTATTTTGTAGAGCTCGCTTTGCTCTATCGAATGGTACCCTGGAGACCTGTAAAGACTATGAGGTCCATGATTTATCGCCGTAAGAAGTTAAATTGTAACAGGACTTATGTAACAACCTAATACATTACAATCTGAGCATTTGAGCTAGCATATACAAAAAAAAATTGCAAAAAAATCCAGTTTACATTAGCTTCTATGTGTAGTAGGACTTGAAGAGCAGCGCGATCATCTGATCATCATCTCACTATTTCCACGCATTTTGTAGCTGTTGGAAATAAACGTTGGCTTCCTCTCTACTCTGAATTGGCAACGCAAGCAAGTATAAAACCACTGCCGCCAATTTAACTTACATCAACATGAAGTTTGTTGCCGTCCAATCCGATCAAATTGCTCACAGCTTGAACTGCAGAGTTCTTCTTTTTACGAAGTACTGCAAATGGCCAAAAAATTACGCAGTTTTACCAGGAAAAGTCGCTTACCGCTATATTGCCTTTTGAAGGAAGTTTTGAGCTTGCGGTTACAAAAGAACAAAAGAAGAGGCATCGAGATAGGTGTCAAGGCTGTTACTATGTCAAACACAAAATAAAACAACCGATAGAAAATTAGGTTTCGTACGACTGATCTGAAAAACGAGTTATAATTAGTTCTATGACATTTAAGCATAAATAGGATAAAATCACGAAGTTACCGGAACATGTTGGCAATGAATAAAGAGCCCCAGCAGACTAAAGATTGCCCAATTATTCCAGCCAGACATCTTAACAAGCTCACAGACGTTTCAACGTTTTCTCTAACCTAAAAATAATCTTCAACTAATTTAAAAGAATTTGCGATCTTCTTTCTCTTCTCTTGTTTGCTTCCTCCCCTTTTCTGCTTTTCATCCTCTGCCATTGAGATTTTGAAGCTCTTGAGTTACAAAATAAAAATGCTGAAAAATTAATTTCCACACAGTTTTTTCGCTAACTTTCAAATAGCTTTGAATGCTTGAAAAAGCAGCTCAAAAATTGCAGCTCGCGCAGGCTGCTTATAAATCAAAGTCATGCAAAATCACTTTGAAATCTTTTTTTTTAAAGTCTCCAACGTCGACGTTGGCATGCAAAGTTTAGAGAAAAGCCGGAGTATTCAGTCAGTAAACTCACACTCACAGTCACTGATCGCTAGTTACAAAGATCGATTAATGAATTACGTACTCAAAAATCTGAGGCTTGTGGAAGCAAACAACTTAAGTACAAAAGGTTTTGCCATCGAAGTCATGCTCACGCGAGAAAAGTGGCCGCGAGCAAATTCGGGTGCAGCTTTTCAACATTGGGGACACAGCACTCTTCGGCGCAGGAATGTTGATGCATACAGCTTAGAACCGACTGTAACTTGCACAAGTATTGTTGACCCATAGTACCCCCTGGAAGCCAGATGTTTCCCGCTGAAGCCTTAAATTCATAATCGTCAGTTAAAATGACGAGCGTCCTCCTACATCTTAGAAAAGCCACCTGAACTGTCAGTTGATAGGGCGGTCTACAGCCGCGGCAACTTTGCCGCGCTGGTGTGAGTTAAGGAAGGATCGGAGGTCAAGTAAATGGGTGCTAAGGTGAAAAATTAGATGGGGTGACTCAGTCAATCAAAGGCCTTCAGCCGGCTCCATCAAAAGCATCGTTGCCTTATCGCCGCCACTTTTCGCTTCCCTCTGAAAAACTTTGCTAGAACTGGCAGCGAGCGGGCTGCCATAGAGTCTTCAGCGCAAAGCGAAAGTGGCGGCGATAAGACAACGACGCTTTTGATGGGGCCGGCTGAAGGCCTTCGATTGTCTGAGGAGTTGCTCGTTAGTGAATTGCGGAACACAGCCGTTGTCTAAGAATACGGAATGGTGCGGGAAACCATACACTCTTGAGGCTTTGCTGATGGAAAGAATCGATAAATAGCTGATCACGGCCACAGAACAAAAATATAATCTTTAATCGTTTTTTTTTGCAGAGACACATTTTTCAAGCATGCGCTAAATGAGATTTTAGAGACTTTACCTTTCTTGTATATTTTCAAACAATTGCAATTTAGTGAAAAGCCATAGAAGGGCCATTTGAAACCACTGTAATTTCGTTTCTTCTGTTTTATCTTCCCGTTTGCTCAGCAAAATCTGTTATGGCGGTCATCAACGGTTTCATTTTAGCCGATTTCGAAAAGGCCGGGCCATGCAACAAAAATGTTGCCGCTGTGTGATCAAACCACGGTCGTGCTAATTGACGAGCGACAGTTTTATCCATTTAATCAAGCCTGTACAAATATGTAGGAAAAGTTCTTTCTAACGCCCATGTCTTTGAAGCGATCCGCACCTAGATCGATGGGACGACTGATGCTGATCTGTGCCTCCACAAGATGAACTTATGCCCGCCTCAAGGTTGTGCCAGACTGCTCGGCATACGCGGTTTACGCGACGCATTCTGGCGTACGCACACGTGCATAAAGATATGGTATGTACGCTGCGTACGTCGCGTACGTCGCGTCCCACATGCAATAAGATGGGAAGGGTTTATTAGAGTGCTTTAATAATCTTTTTTTAATTATTCATCATTGATTGGCTCTACTACCTTTCACCAAAGAATGCTGATTGAAAGCGCAACTTAAAAGCATAAGTGTTAAAGTAAAATTATCTGGAAATTATAAATGAAGCTTTTTCTTTGTAGCAATCTTCTCTTTCAGAAGGTATAAAGAAATTCAGCGTGATCAACTATATTCGGCGCTAAGCACAATTAGCGCGTTTATAGCCGGCCTACAAATTATCAAACATTTTGAAGCGATGTAAAAGCTTTATCCATTGTAAGACGTATTGCACAAAAATCTTATATTGAAGAAGAGACTGACCTGGTACATGTGCGAAAACTCCAGCGAGCATCGGTTGTGACGCCAACATTCCAGATTTGTTTTTCTGACGTAAATCATCACCTAAATGAGCGTACGTAACATTGCCGTGCTGAAGGTCACGGGTTCGATTCCGCCCTGAGCCTAATTTCTGCGGCAAAAATTCTGCTCACAATTCCAGCGTCAGGCTGCCCTTCCAAAGAAGGGCATGCGATAAGCCGGCTGAGAAACACCCCGTCGCATCAAATATGCAGACACGTCTCATAAACAATCCAGAGTAAAGGCTAGGGCGTCCCCGGAAGCGACGCGCATTCGAGCCCGACGAATGCGAATAGTGGGCGAGGGTTACCGTCTCAGCAAGGTGAACGGGGACGGCTAAAGCGGCTAGTTCACCAGAGGCAACGATCTAAGGCATCGCAGACTCTCCGTCTAGCTACCATCGATATGGGTACACTCACTTCTCGTTCTCGAGAGTTAGCAGATCTTCTGAAAAGACGGCGAGTTGATGTAGCCTGCATACAGGAACGAAGTGGAGCGGGGAAAAGTCACGCGACATTGGAGATGGATATAAGCTCCTCTACAACGGTGCCACCCGCACCAGAAACGGGGTTGGTATAGCTGTCTCGGAGACTCTAAGGAGCAATATAGTTGGCGTTGAGCGCATAAGCGATCGTCTAATAAGCATAAAGCTAGATACCGGGAAACAGGTCCTACGAGTAATCACTGCTTATGCGCCACAAGTCGGATGTAAGTATGATGAAAAGGACGCGTTCTGGCAGGAGCTTGATGGCCACATCAGTTCAATTTCACTGGACGAGACACTTCTGCTAGGAGCGGACCTCAACGGACATGTGGGAGAAAGGCGAGGAGAAGCCGGAGAATGTCACGGAGGCCAACATGCAATGAAGAAGGTGAGCGCATTCTGGAATTCGCCTCAGCTCATGATTTGGTCTTGGCGAACACATACTACATCAAGAAGAATGACAACCTCATCACATATGCAAGTGGAGACCGACGAACACAGATAGACTTCTGGGCTATCCGACGGCGTGACCTCAAAAACGTAAAGGACTGCAAAGTCAATCCCGGTGAGAGCTGCATACCTCAGCATAGGCCACTCCTTCTCGACATCAGAGTCTCAATCGACAAGCACACCAGGAGAGCCACAGAGACCAGAACACGCATCAAATGGTGAACACTGAAAACCAGCAACCAGGCGAAACAAACACTGTCAACAACTCTACCAAGCCTGCAAGAGAACCCGAACAATCCTGGGCAAACTTGAAAGATTGAGTCCACCAAGTGGCACACATGATCCTGGGAAGTACAAAGCCAGGAAAAGAAGGATTAATCGAGAAACCTGGTGGTGGAATGACGGCGTGCAAAAAAGTCATAAAGGAGAAGAGGGATGCGTACAAGCGATGGTATAAGACGAAATCGGAGGACGATCGCCAGACATACCAACAGGCCAAACACGCTGCGAAGGCTTCTGTAAAGAAGGCAAAACAGGTATACATGAAAGAGCTCTACGATCAACTAGAGTCTTGCGAGGGAGAACGTGAGATCCGGATAGCGAGAAGAAGAGCGGAATCCACAAAAGATATGTAACACTTCCTCCATATCAAAGACAAATTTGGTAGGACGCTAAGAAAACCAGAGGACATCACCGAGAGATGAAAAACTTACTTCGAAGAGATGGACTGAGAAGATGATGGAGGAAGAGAAAGACTACCACAAACCGCACCATCAACTCCATCCCAGAAGCCAGTCCCATAGAAGGACCAGAACCAGCAGTCACGGAAGAAGAAGTATGGCTGGTGAGAAAAAAAAATGGCAAGGCAACTGGTCCAGACGACATACCAAGCGAATTCTGGAAAATATGTGGACAATCCGGAGCCACATGGCTAACGAGTTTCCTCAATCAAGTCATAAGGAGCAAGAGCATCCCTCACTACTGGTACACCAGCACGACCATCCCGATATGGAAAAACAAAGGAGACATAGCAGATTGCGCATCCTACCGACCAATCCGACTGATGAGCCACACTCTAAAAATCTTCGAGCGAATAATCGAAACGCGTCTTCGAGATATCATAGAATTGTCACCAAATCAGTGCGGATTCGTGAAAGGAGTAGGCACAACTGACGCAATCCAATCCGCTCGGATAGTGAAGGAGAAATATGGAGAGAAGCAGAGGGAATTGCATGCAGCTTTCTTGAACCTGAAGGAAGCCTTCGATAAGGTGCCCCATGAACTCATATGGTGGGCCTTACGGAAACACAGGGTGCCAGAGGAGTACATTCAGTGGATAAAGTTGATCTACCACAACGCTTCAAGCCACGTGCAAACAGCTGCAGGGCAATCGAAAGAATTCCAAATCAAGGTTGGAGTGCACCAAGGTTCAGTTCTCTCTCCCTTGCTCTTCATCAATGTGATGAACGCCGCGATGGAACCGCTCAGACGTGAACCTCCTTGAACACTTCTCTACGCAGATGATGTGGTCTTGATAGCAAGTACCAGAAAGGAGCTACAAGACAAGGTACAAAAGTGGAAGAATAGGCTAGAGTTGTATGGCCTGAAGCTGAACACCAGGAAGACAGAATATATGGAAATAGGGAAGCAAACTCCTGGTACCATAAGCATCGATGGTGAAGAGCTAAAGAAGACAACGTCATACAAGTACTTAGGCAGTCACATCTCAGCGGAGGCAGGCTTACAAGAGGAGGTTGCAGGCAGGATGAACACAGCATGGATAAAATGGAGAGCCTTAACAGGAGTTTTGTGCGACAGAAGAATGCCAGTGCAACTCAAGTCCCAACTGTACCGGACCGTTATCCACCCAACA